CACACACACACACACACACACACACACACACACACACACACACACACACACACACACACACACCCCTTCTTGAGTGTGCACATAGATTATGCATGCAGCAGTCAGCTTAGAGGCTTGGATCTATTAATATATGCACACTTGCAGTTTTATGTTTCTGCTCGCTTCACGAGAGCGCGGTGCAGTGATGTGTTAATGCCGTATGATGGAGAGGAAGGAAGTGATGCTAAAAGAGTGAAAGGCATTAAATATGGAGAAAGAGAAGATGAGACAGAAACTTCTTCAGGACATAAAGGGTGAGGTGGAGAGGATGAAGAGATAGAGGATGACAGTCTGAAACACACAGGGACAGAAAGCGGCAGCGGGGGGAGGGATCGCACTGGTATGGGAGGGTGAGGAGGGTTACCCTGGGACACACAAACTCAGTGACATGACACAGATGCACTGTGCTACTGAGAGGAGGAGAGGAGGGAGTGTGAGCCTATAGACGCTGCAGTTCAGCACTATTCTGTGGAAAAGACGACCACGGGAACACGGTGCAGCAGAACATGTTGTGTTTTAGCAGCTAAACAGAGCTAATTTAGAAAAAGATTTGATTCTGTTTGGTGCAAATGGATGATTGAGACCACATGTTTATGACTATGTTAAATGGAAAATGCTTATAGTTCCAGCTATTTTTTTGCGTCTTTTTATTCGGAGTCAGAATTTGGATGGGATTCAAACTTAAAGGGACGGTTTGTGTTTTTGAAGCAGCCATCTTTGTATCTTCTATAAAAACAGATGAGTTTGGGAGAAACTGGAGTGAAGGAGTCAAGCTAACATCTAGACAGTGTGGAGCTTGTTCCAGAGCAGAATTCAGCTCAAACCTTTAAAACTAGGGATGTCCAATAATAACGGCCTACAGATATTATCGGTCCGATATTAGCATAAAAATGTAAAATCTCTACATATCGGAATCGGATTTTCTTCTGATAACAAAAGCCAGATAAATTAACGCCCAGATTTGACAAAAATGTGTTAATAAATGTTTGTGGTCCAGAGACGTTCACCAGTGGACACCGCTGGATTATCTCAGGGAGAGCATGATCCAAACTATTGTTTGAGACAAAATGTTAAAAATAAATGAGGCACTTTTTCCATAATTTCAATTAAATGGTTTTTATTTGTAGAGACAATGTTTACTTATGGAATGCATCTAGTAGGGTATCACAGTAAAAGCAGGCATAAGGTCCCTGACAGAAGATATTTGGTGTCAGCTTAATACTAATATTGGTTAATATCGGAATTAGAATGTAAGTGTTGAACAATATCTGCAAAAAGTCAATATCGAGCATCTCTATTTAAAACTTTATTTTATTTCAAATGAGCGCAGTGTTTTGGATTTAATACACCACAGCACTTTTGTGTCAAATGGTTTTATGGACTGCATACACTCAACACATCCAGTTTAACAGCATTTGTCACAAAATAGATCAAAGATCAGATTTCAACATACCCAACCATATTACAGTTTAAATTTGGAGCTGGTGTGAGGTATGTTTTTGATATTCCACGTTGGAAGACTGACATTAGAAAGTGTTTCAGTAAACTATGTTTAAATCCCAGGTTTGAACAAAACGCATTATGTATTCTTCCACTAAACTGTTCCCTGCTCTGATTGGTCAAAAAAAGGCAAAGTTAATTTTTGTTTGTTTAAAATGTAACAATAATAACCTATGTCTGAGATCAATGACAATGTAGAGCAAATAAAATTTTGGTCTTTAGACAAGGAAGAGTACCAGTAAATACAACTTTTATCTGAGGGTGTTTTCACACCAGGTGGTCTAGACCAAATAGCGGACTTAATTTTTTTTTCCTTTAGTGCAGTTTGCATTCACATTGTGCATTTTGCAATCGGAGTATAATTTCTAAAAGCCAATCAGGTAACGGTCATTGCTCCCATTGGACAGAAATGATGGGGGCGGGCCAGAGCACAGACCCAGAAATAAAAATGGTGCTGTTAATACAACCGACTATTAAGAATATCAAGAGCAGCTCATTCAGAGGCAGTTTTGTGATGATGATATAATTGTGGAACAGCGTTGTCAAATGCATGCTTCAACCTAAAGGAAACAAGAAGCTCTGCGTTCCCTGACCCACAACGGCTCATTGTTTGTAGTGTAGCGTTAGCATTAGCAACACTGGAGGGCTAATGTTACTTATCAATAGTGGTCCGTGAAGTCCAAAATGCACGTGTTTCCTGTAGTTGGTTCAGTTTGAGACCGGTCTGTATTCACACCAGAAGTGAACCACACCAGAGTTTGTCTGGAAATAGACTGAGACCACCTCAAAAATGGGTCTAGATCCAGTTGTTTGATCTGCACCAGGGTTCGCATTCACTCACACCTGCATAAAAGGTCCGGAACAATGAGGGAAACAAACTCTGGTCCGTTTAAAGCGGACTAAATGTGTCGGGTGTGAAAACACCCTAAGTCTCAGCTTGAGCGGTATGACTTTTAAAAAAGGGACTATTTGGATCACCATCCTTCCAAGTAGGCATTTAACTAGAGGGGTGTTGTTACTGTTTGGTTTTATGATACCCTCTTTCAGCTGGAGACGCCTCAGGATGCCTTCAGGCCACTGTGCTGAGTTTTGGGTTATTTCTTTTACACTACGTAAATTTCATGAGCTTCCGTAAACTTTGTAAGCAGCGTGTGGGTGAGTACAACGGTTTTATGAAAACAGAGGAAGACGCATAATTAATGAATTGCTCCGGCTTGGATAGAGGAAAAAGATATCGATAATTACAGCTTCAGTAGTAAAGCGTCCAAAATCCTACCTAAAACACCTGCTTCTAAGGTCTTCATGCAGATATTATATTTGATCAGTCGAATGAATCCTTGCTGTTTTAGATGCTAACAGCTGAGATGCAAAAGCTCGCAGTGTGTTGTGATGACAGAAGAGAAAAAAGAAGCACAGAGAAATCTGGTAATGTCTGAGAGTTCGACAAAAAAAAAAAAACTTCCTTTAATTGTTTTAATGTGAGAAGTCACAGGAAGATTTCCTTCCACATTGTTTTTCATCAAACAGGAAAACAAGAACTGCAGAGAATATTAGGGTGCAAAAAACAGACAATATTCCTCCATGCACGTTTGTGGCCAGATTTAACATGATGTATGTATAGGGAATGTAGCCTTAATGCCAGTATAAAATCTACAGTGTTTGGCCTGAATTTGTCTCTTTAGTTCATGGTAATTACACTGACAAGTATCTGACAGTGATGTTGACAGATGTTACAACCAAAGCTGATTTAAATGTGCCATCTTGACTGCTCAAATAAACACAGAATCTCATTTCCAAGTCGCATGCAGAACACTGCGCCTCCACACACACACACACACACACACACACACACACACACACACACAC